AAATCGAATATTTCGATAAAGAACATCATTTTATATATTTTAAATATTTTAAATGTTAATTATTGTAATATTTTAATATTTAATAAGAATTTATTGTGATTAGACGGACAAGATTTAATATATAAAGTAATAATTGAAAGTTAGTTTGAAATGGATGTGACTTAGTTCCACTTATGCACTAACTGGACTCACACGATGACGCCAGCCTCGAAGGCGCTCCCATGCATTTTGTGTCCGTTACTTTAAACTCGATGGGAAAACAAGACAATGAATGCAATTCATTTGAACACGTCCGCTGGTAACTTAACCTTGCCCGGGCATCGAAGGAAAATCTACGCTTTGTCAGCTGCGAGGAGATTCGTCATATTATATTGTATAGTTTCTGTTAAAATGTATTCATATATTTTGATTTTGGTTAAAATCGGACTGTAATAACGGATATATTACATGAGAACTTGCTCGCCTCTCGAAAACAACTCGCACTTTATTTATAGGAGCGAAAAGGTTTTTAAAGAAGATCGTATAAAAATTAAACACGTATTTTGTTCCCACTAAGTCTTACGGCTTTGGAGATGTGGTTACTTCTCTACGTTGAAGGATTTGTTTAGACAAGGTTACAAGGTTAGCCCGAGTAAATAACGTGTTATTGGTGAGTTACTAGCGTAAAGAGCTCGAGGTGTCGTGTTTTTGTCTCTTACAAAGGACATTTGTTCTGATGTGTGTCCAGATACACGTTTCTTTATACACGGTTCAAACACATTTCCTAAATCGCGTTTTTATTGGTAGTAGGTGTGAACGTTTTACCGTCTACGATTGCATCGAATTTTCTCATAAGCTTCGAGTTACCTTACTTTACGATGACAAATATCTTCCATTAAGGTAGTCTTACAAGTGATTCCTCGCAGCTGCAAGCAAGTACGTTATCGAACCGCATTTCGCAGGTGTCCCATACACACATTCAGTGTATGAAATAAGGTCATTGTAATACACGAAACCATTCAATACATGATCATTAGCACTTAGTTAATTAGCGATTCTAGTATACGTGTTCAAAATAGTCACCGTTAGTGTAGCCCGGAAGTATGATCGTGTTACTTGCCAGAGGGAAACATTTTAACTGACGTGACCCTGTAGGGTGTGAGGCTCTGGAAGTACTTAATATTGTTCGTGGAGGAACCTGTGAGACCTTGGGAGGGGGGGGGGGGTTACTTATGTATAACTGCTCTAATCAACTCCCGAAGCAAGGACCAAGGCGCAGAGGCTTTCAGCCGAAGGGATCCCGCCCTCTCTGGGTTCAAATCCCAGAGATTCATCCAACGCCAAAAAGGACGTATTGCCTGACGGGATAACCTCTCATCAGCATCCAACAGACCCTAGTTTGAACAGTCGAGGCTACCTCCACGACTAAACCCCCGTTAATGTAAACAAATTCCTGTTTTAGTTATAAGGCTCTGTTTAACATTTCCAGCAATGCGTTTCGTACGCAGGAATGGTGTTAAACCTAGCGAGGGACGGCGTCTTACGCCTGCGCAGGACTCCGCCCTTAGTTAGCTTTTTGGTTGGTCGAAGCAAGGAAGTGTTTGTTGAGGGACGCGGCTGGACTTTGCTCTCAACGAGCACCGAAGCCAAGAACGTCCCATTGGATTAATCGCTGATAGTCCGGCAGACCTCGTGTTATCTACCGTCTGTCATCTTAGTCCAACCCGCATCACAGAACTCTGGAGAGATGAAGGGGGTACGTGGACGGTTATAATTTGTTAGTAGAGCAGTTGACAGCGGCGAGCAACTGATTCACACGGTTAATGTTCTATATTATAAGTACACATCATTTTTGAACACCCTGTATAGCAAGAAGTAGAACTGTCGCGAAACTGGTAGTCGCCTGTAAGTGACTTGCGCATTGACTTGTGACGACAAACAACCATCACAGCCGTCGACCAGTTTTGATTGAGGACTGTCACTCATAAATTTGAACGCAACTGTCACATCCCGTCTCCCTGTTGGTACTGCATGACTCACGGCCAATAGCTACACGTTTCTGCTTATAAGAATCAAGTATCTTTATTTATTTATTTATTTATTTATTTAGTGTTCTGTCTGACGACATGTCCATATGAACAGGATCCTTCCATCCTTTTCTCGGACTGGGACCTGTTCATATACGTTCTTGGCAGATGATCCAGAAGTGGTTTGCCATTGCCTTCGTCTGTGTGTGAATGGAGTAATTGTTGGGATGCCACGGAGGAAAACTCCGGGCTGCCTAGACCACGGCCTTGCCCACCACAAGTTATAAATTCGGGCACCGCAGGGAATCAAACCCGAGACCCCAGGATTACAAGGCCAGCATTCTAGTGTGTGCATGGAGTAATTGTTGGGATGCCACGGAGGAAAACTCCGTGTTGCCTAGACCACGGCCTTGCCCAACACAAGTTATAAATTCGGGCACCGCCGGGAATCGAATATATAAAACAATAAAATAAAAAGATGGATGTCTTCTGGGTTGTTGCGCCTGGTATCCTTGGAGAAATTTATCGACGTTTCAGAGGTCCTTGCTACCTCCATCATCAGGGCGATGACAGGAGTACAGGCAACTTCACAAACGTAAGTATATAAAACATAGGGGTGCACAAACGAAATTTCTCATCCTTATATTGGCAGGTTGCGATTCTTAAAAAGTTTGGTACAATCCGACGATAGAGTACAGTACGAGAGGAAGACGTTTTTCATGTTCCTGGATTTCAGACAGAACTTGGAGTCGTTACTGACGACGACCCAAGAACGCGTATTTACGTCCTTGTAGCACTGAAGTGTGTAACAGTTTAGTTCGGGCAAAGGCAGGCATTTGTCTCCCGCTTCCTAGCGACGGTGCCAGAGAAGTCGCTTTTAATATTCGGATCAGATCTGCGACAAACTCCGCCCCACGGAGCTGACTGCTGGCTTCGGCGTTATACGAGGGCCAGTTGCATGTTCAAATTTGGTGAGGACGGATGCACTTACCCGGCATCGAACTACTGGCGAGCTCTGTTGTGTGTTCGTGCTACCTCGAGGACGTGGTACGTGGGCTGGTTTCGAACACGATGCGTCTATTTTCATTTTAAACTTT